CAATTCCTCAACCACATCAATTACATACACCCAGCCATCAAATTCACCATGGAGGTGGAAAAGGATGGCAAGTTACCATTCTTGGATGTTTTAATTGAAAAGAGACCAGATAGCTCAATGAGACACTGTCTACAGGAAAGCCACCCATACGGATGCTTATCTAAAACCTGACTCTCACCACCATCCATCCCAGAAGAATTCCCTCATCAAAACTCTACACCATAGAGCTCTATGTATTTCCGACCGTCATCACCTAGCCAGTGAACTGGAACACGTACACCAAGCCCTCAAGATGAATGGATATTCAGACCACACAATCCGTAAAGCTATCACCCCAACCATTGGGAAAGAACCATCTGAGGACCCAATCAAAACCATCACCTTGCCATACATAGCGGGGGTCACTAAAAATATTTCCAAAATCATGAGCAAACACAAAATCCAGGTTCGATTGAACACAATACATAAAATTCGTGATCTGATCCCATTTGTGAAGGATGTGATCCCTGACATGCAATACCCCCGGCGTCTACAAACTAAGTTGTGTCTGTGGCCATAGTTACATTGGGGAAACTAAGTGACATGTCTCGGACTGTGTTCGTGAACATAAGGCAGATCTGAAACACGGTAGGACTAATACCTCGGCCGTGGCTGATCACTGTTGAAATGCGGTGGGCTCACACGAAATTGATTTCTCTAAGACGAAGATACTCTGCAAACCCACTGGCTATCAACACATATTCGTTCATGAAGCCATCCATAAATATATAGACAGACACAATTTCAACCGAGAAGATGGGTACAAACTGAGCAATCATTTGAAGAACGTTATTAACCAGTTTAAGTCATAACTGTCTGTGATGTTCCCATCCTTCCTTCCGATGTTAGTAGTTATTTTCGACTCTCTGGTTTTACATTAACAGGTTAAATGTCTTTACATTAACAGGTTAAATGTCTCACTAACACAGCCACTGTTGCTCGTTTTCCTCGATGTGGCGGTGGCTTTGCGATCTTACATTGACATGCTAATCTCTCACAACACAATGGCCACCTCTGCAGCTTCGTCGTCGTGGAGGTAACTCTCCGATCTTACATTGACATGCAAATTTCTCACTTTAACATCACTAGCGCTGCCCACTTCGCGTATGACCCTTGGGCTACACACATTTTAAACCTTTAAAACATCCTGCCTCAGCAGCTTTCCCTCTATTTTTTTACTTCTCCTGATGAAGATTGCTTGTGTTGCGATCGAAACGTCATAGTTTTTTTTTTATTTTCTTTGAACTTATCTACGTGACTTTACCGAAAGACCCAAGAATAAATATTGTATTGTTATATCGTCATATTGTTGTATTATATATTGCATCGTATAATTGTATCATATCGTGGCATTGTCATATCGTATCGACTCATCGTGGTATTGTCACAGTACATTATGGTCGTATCCTGGTATCGTCGTCCCGTGGTATTGTTCTACCTTTGTGTCGTGGTATCGTAATATCGTGGCATCGTCCTCTCATACGGTACGGTATTCATATTGTAGTACCGTTCTATCGTATCGTGGTTATTATACCTCTGACATTGTAAACTCTCACATTTCGATTTAAAGCTTTCGTGACTGCAGGGATTAATTTTCTTGGTTCTTTCGGTAAATGTCTTTCTGACAGACCTGTTCTTCACCTGAGGACGGCTGCTTGCGTTGTGGCCGAAACGTCGTGATAATTATTTTATTATGTTTTATTTTTATTATTTTATTATTTCCATTCTACGTGACTTTACCGAAAGAACCGAGAAGATGAAACTCTCACATGTTAAACTCTAACATATACTATTATATCTCATGCTCTCATGTCCTTTGGATTGCATTCTCATACTCACAGGCCCTTTGTATTGCACCCGTTGGGTTGCACTCCCTCGTCGAGGAGGCCGCTCTCCTCCTTTTCTCCAGTAACATGCTAATTTATCACATTAACACATTCCTCCTGCGGAGGGAGCTGGTAGGAACGTTGGGTTGCTCGGTCAATGGCCAATGTCAACGGCGGCGTGGTGTATTCCGCAAATATGCCCGACTGTGAGGGCGGGCACAAGCCGGCGTGAGTAGGTTAAACATTGAGTTTTATAAGGGCACCACGGGGTGACCAGCCCCTCCCCAGCCCCTCCCCACCCAGCCTTTCCCCTCCCCACCCTCCCCTCCCCACACAGCCCTGACCTCCCCACCCAGCCCCTCCCCACCCTCACCTCTCCACCCAGCCCACCCCTCCCATTTTTGGATGCATGACGGACGGACACAATAATCCCTTGTGGGCTGGTGTAACCAGGAGGTTCCTACCAGTAACATCATGCTAATCCCTCACATTAACATAGCCACTGCTATCTTACAGTTACATGCTAATCTCTCACATTAACATAGCCACTGCTATCTTACAGCTACATGCTAATCTCTCACATTAACATAGCCACTTCTATCTTACAGTTACATGCTAATCCCTCACATTAACATATCCACTGCTATCTTACAGTTACATGCTAATCTCTCACATTAACATAGCCACTGCTATCTTACAGCTACATGCTAATCTCTCACATTAACATAGCCACTGCTATCTTACAGTTACATGCTAATCTCTCACATTAACATAGCCACTTCTATCTTACAGTTACATGCTAATCTCTCACATTAACATAGCCACTGCTATCTTACAGTTACATGCTAATCTCTCACCTTAACATAGCCACTGCTATCTTACAGTTACATGCTAATCTCTCACATTAACATAGCCACTGCTATCTCACAGCTACATGCTAATCTCTCACATTAACATAGCCACTGCTATCTTACAGCTACATGCTAATCTCTCACATTAACATAGCCACTGCTATCTTACAGTTACATGCTAATCTCTCACATTAACATAGCCACTGCTATCTTACAGTTACATGCTAATCTCTCACATTAACATAGCCACTGCTATCTCACAGTTACATGCTAATCTCTCACATTAACATAGCCACTGCTATCTTACAGTTACATGCTAATCTCTCACATTAACATAGCCACTGCTTTCTCACAGTTACATGCTAATCTCTCACATTAACATAGCCGATGCTATCTTACAGTTACATGCTAATCTCTCACATTAACATAGCCACTGCTATCTCACAGTTACATGCTAATCTCTCACATTAACATAGCCACTGCTATCTTACAGTTACATGCTAATCTCTCACATTAACATAGCCACTGCTTTCTCACAGTTACATGCTAATCTCTCACATTAACATAGCCACTTCTATCTTACAGTTACATGCTAATCCCTCACATTAACATAGCCACTGCTTTCTCACAGTTACATGCTAATCTCTCACATTAACATAGCCGATGCTATCTTACAGTTACATGCTAATTTATCACATTAACATAGCCACTGCTATCTTACAGTTACATGCTAATTTCTCACATTAACATAGCCACTGCTATCTTACAGCTACATGCTAATCTCTCACATTAACATAGCCACTTCTATCTTACAGTTACATGCTAATCCTTCACATTAACATAGCCACTGCTTTCTCACAGTTACATGCTAATCTCTCACATTAACATAGCCACTTCTATCTTACAGCTACATGCTAATCTCTCACATTAACATAGCCACTTCTATCTTACAGTTACATGCTAATCTCTCACATTAACATAGCCACTGCTTTCTCACAGTTACATGCTAATCTCTCACATTAACATAGCCACTGCTATCTTACAGTTACATGCTAATCCCTCACATTAACATAGCCACTGCTTTCTCACAGTTACATGCTAATTTCTCACATTAACATAGCCACTGCTATCTTACAGCTACATGCTAATCTCTCACATTAACATAGCCACTTCTATCTTACAGTTACATGCTAATCTCTCACATTAACATAGCCACTGCTTTCTCACAGTTACATGCTAATCTCTCACATTAACATAGCCACTTCTATCTTACAGTTACATGCTAATCCCTCACATTAACATAGCCACTGCTATCTTACAGTTACATGCTAATTTCTCACATTAACATAGCCACTGCTATCTTACAGTTACATGCTAATCTCTCACATTAACATAGCCACTTCTATCTTACAGTTACATGCTAATTTCTCACATTAACATAGCCACTGCTATCTTACAGTTACATGCTAATCTCTCACATTAACATAGCCACTGCTATCTTACAGTTACATGCTAATCTCTCACATTAACATAGCCACTGCTATCTTACAGTTACATGCTAATCTCTCACATTAACATAGCCACTGCTATCTTACAGTTACATGCTAATTTCTCACATTAACATAGCCACTGCTATCTTACAGTTACATGCTAATTTCTCACATTAACATAGCCACTGCTATCTTACAGCTACATGCTAATGTATCACATTAACATCACCAGTCCCGGCCACTTCTTCATGACCCTTGGGCTACACCCATTCCAAACCTTTATAAAACAGTCTGCCTCGGCAGCAGACCATGCTTTCCCACCTGATGATGGACGCTTGTGTTGCGCCCGAAACGTCGTGCTTTATCGTATTTTATACCCACGTGACTTTACCGAAAGAACCAAAAAGTATGATATCGTATCTTTATTTCCTGGTCTCATCGCAATATCGCGATATCGTCACATCGTGATATCGTCATATCGTCATATAGTCATATCGTGATATCGTGATATCGTCTATCTTCATATCCTGGTTTAATAATATCGCGATATCGTCACATCGCGATCTGGTTATGCGGTGGTATCGTGCCTTCGTTTATATCGTCATATCGTAATATCGGCATATCGTGATATCGTGATATCGTGATATCCTGATTTCATAATATCGCGATATCGTCACATCGCGATCTGGTTATGCGGTGGTATCGTGCCTTTGCTTATATCGTGATATCGTGATATCGTCGCTGCCGATATGTTCCCTCCCTGACCCGGAAGTGCTGACCCAGGGTCCCGCGGGCGCGTGGTCCCGTCCCGCGCCACTTTTCAGCGCTCGCGAACGGCGGCGGCGGCTCCGGCTCCCGTCGCGAGGACAACGAACGTGGAGTGGGCGCGCGGGTTGTGTTTTAGGCACAGCGGGACACATGGACGCGATGGACAAGAAGTGGGACGTCATGGGAGCGCTGCGCAACTCGCCTCAAGGGAAACTGAGATACGAACGAAAGTGGAGCCCGGTGACTTACCATCAGCATCATCATCATCAGCACCATCATCACCATCAGCATCACCATCATCACCATCAGCACCATCATCACCATCAGCATCATCAGCACCATCATCACCATCATCATCACCATCATCAGCACCATCATCACCATCATCATCACCATCATCATCACCATCATCAGCACCATCATCATCACCATCATCAGCACCATCATCACCATCAGCACCATCATCATCACCATCATCATCAGCACCATCATCACCATCAGCACCATCAGCACCATCATCATCACCATCATCATCACCAATAGCACCATCATCACCAATAGCACCATCATCACCAATAGCACCATCATCACCAATAGCACCATCATCACCAATAGCACCATCATCACCAATAGCACCATCATCATCATCACCATCATCATCACCATCATCACCATCAGCACCATCAGCACCATCATCACGGTCGTTATCATCATGAACGTGATTATAATTGCGACTTGTTATGAATGATAATAAATTAACACGACACTTTACAGACCCGTGTCAAGCCGCTGCTGGAATGAAGGCCTCGCCGTGCCACACTTCACGACTGGACTATAACTCTGGATGCTGGGTTTAGAACCGCTGTACTAGCGCTCCAATCCTTTACACGTATTGTTTTAGTACAGTTCAATTACAGCGCCACATTACTATGATTATACTTTACCATTAAGCTACCATTACTGCCAAGTGCTTATTTGTGGAGTTTATTCCAATTAACCTTTGACCCACCCACTGCTGGTTGAAGGCTCATCTCCATGTCATCGCCATCTCATGGGCCTAGGGGCCATACATTTAGTTATTTAGTTCGTACGCGTGGAGGGGGAAGGGAGGTTCACCCAAATGCGTTCGCTTGCGTGTGGGGGGTCTACTGAAAATGTGCGCATAGGGGACGGGGGGGGGTGAAGCATCGACAATAATGTGTCTACATTGGCCTTCAAATTAGTTTGATAGTCCGGCGGTGGACTATCTGTTTGCTTAAACACGTTAATATTATTAATCCTTGATCGTCTGCGTGGATTAAATATCGGCCGTTCTATAGGATTCGGGGGGGGGGGTGTAAAAAGTCCGCGTGCGTACAGGGAAGGGGTCAAGTTTTGACAAGAGTTTTGCGTACGCACTCAATGTCACGATCCTTGTAGCTCCTGCACATGAGCTGATCTCACCACTCGGACCCTCCGTGCTCTGTCCCATGTCTGCCGATCATATCGCCAAGTCTCATCATTGAGCCCCACCGTCCCTTCTGACCAAACCTACGTTCTTAAGAGTCGTTATGATGTGTCTTGAGTGCGATCCCTGAACTGTGAACAATCGCGTAGAATTTGGATTTACATAGCGTCTAAGCGCGACCGCATCGCAAGAAGCTGTACAAAACTGTGCATGTTTATTTTGTACCGTACATAGAGGCAGTCATAGGCAGTGGGGTTGAGGGAAAGGTCTTCAGCATGGACTTGAGCGGGAGAAGGGATTTGAGAGCGAAAATACCTGGGCAAGTGTGTTCTAGACTATGGGGGCAACAGGAGAATGAGTGACCTACTGAGCAAAGATTGTTTGGGAACTTTGACAGAAGGCCTTGGTTGCTAGAACAGAGAGTGCATAGAGGGGAGTAAAGTGAGATGTAAGGGAGTTGAGTGAGATGACAGGGGGGAGGGTGGGAGAGTGCCTGGAGAGGAGTAGAGTGAGATGGGAGAAGAGAGGTAGGCAGGGGCAAGTCCATGGAGGGTCTTGAAGATGGATGGGCATTGTATTGGAAGCCGGTGGAGGAATCGGAGTACAGGTAGTCTCCGACTTACGGTGGAGATGCGTTACGACGACCCCATCGTAAGTCGAAAATATCGTAAGTCGAAGATGGCCTAGCCTACCCAGGAGTCTTAAAGAATGGTGATAATTTAGCAAAACAGCAACGTTCTGTATAAACTTTATACTGTATGTATTGAATAATTACAATACTGTATTGCGCAGTAAAATTTTAAGTAAAACATTCTTAGCCTACTTATATGAACTGCAATTTCATAGAAAGTTTTTTCAGGAAAACTTTTAACATGCGTATCGTATCGTGGTAACCCTAAAATGAAATCGCTAAAGCTATGTATCATACATGCATTGAACGTATCGTCACGTATCATATTGTATTGTACTCACCAAAATTCGCACTAACACAGACAACTTAACTCCGTCAACCGCTGGTGAGAGTGAGGCATCACCACACAAGGCGGGAGATGCGTACAGAACATCCCGGCAGCGTCCCAACGTGCAGTGTCGTACCTCGTACGCTGCTACGTTTGCCTGCCGCGCGAAATGTAAAATATTTTTAAATTTTGTCATATCGCTATCGCCATCGTAAGATCGAAATATCGTAAGTCAGACCATCGTAAGTCGGGGACTACCTGTATAGGTAGACTGTCTCATTTATTGGTTGCCGGTGAGAAGTATTAAGAGCAGCGTTGTGGATAATTTGAAGTTCTTTGGGGAAGCCGTATGGAAGACGCGTCGCGATGTTAAGAAGGCATGGATTGAGGGTCTCAGCGGTAGCTGGGACAGAGATGTGGATGCTGGACATGTTCTGTCTCTTCTTTGTTCTGTTTCTCAGTGTACTAAAATTCGAAGCGTGCCACCACCCCATGCAGCATTTTAAACAATGGTGCAAGTTTCTGAAATCGCCCCCACTCTGTCCACCCAGAGGTATAAATTGGTACACCACAGTCGATGGGCAGGTCGCGCGAAGTTGTGTGATTGTTCCCACCTCTTCAAAGACATGGACAGCATCGAAGAGTAGGCCAGAATAAACTCTAAAAGGGCTCTAGCTTATAAACCATTGGAACCTCATTTGCCATTAAAAAATATGATAATTGTTTTTTTTACCCTTTTATCTGGCAACAAAACTGACACCTTTTTTAGTCAGTTTTGTTCTCATACTCTGATGGTGCATTGTCTTTGAGTTGTGCGCCTTTTGGCGTCATCTGGTCCAACACCATGTGAGACTAGGCTCGAAGGAAAGCTGTCTCGGGTGTGGACCAATCAACTTCAAGGACAGTACATACATTATCAGAGTTATGTTTTTTGTTTGCATTATGACTGCAGGTATTGTGGTCTATGCAAACATGACTCCTCGTAAAAAAATATGTCAGTATTGTTGCCAAATGAAAGGGTAAAAAAACTATTATCAGGGCTCTAGCTTGTTCCTTCTGATGGAGGTGCTTTTGCCATCAGTGGTGTGAGCACACAATTGCAGGGCTGCACCTTTACCTTTGATCTCTCTACGTATTCAGCATTTGTCCCGTTACGAATGTAATCTTATGTACACGGTACGTGCCTTGTAAACGCGACTGCTGCTACAGGAGGTGCTGACGGAGGTGGTCCCAACGCTCTCGCCGCTGGCCGGCAGAGTGCTCGACCTTGTGCAGCGACGCTCGCCCTCCGCCCCTGATGAGGAACAGCGGAGCCGAGTCTCCATCCCGTCGCTGCTCGTCAACTGCCAGGTGCGAGCTCCGTCGAGAAACATAACCCTTGCCTTGTACAACCCTTGCTTTGTACACGTCACACAAGGCCGCGTGGTCACCTTAAAGCAGGGGTGTGGATTCTAATACCGGTCAAGCGGGACTAATATGCTCCGCTACTTAAATTCATACGGTCTGTGGCCACGTGAGGCCTCCTGCCACTTCTAAAAAGGCCGCAGACATTATTTATCCATCGCGGCGAGCACCTTAGCCATTGGTTACAAGAGGGGGGTATTTTTGACCTGACAACACTGTTTCCGATTTTTTACGCATTTTGTCACATTTGTCTTTCAAGTAGTTATGAGCGCAATATCAATAGATATAGTAGAAGTTGAGTGTCAAAGGTATTGAAAGTTCTATTTGTATGTCGGTAAGGAATAGATTCCCCACCTCTGATCTAAAATACGACTGTATCTGAACTGAATGTTGGGGTACGGTAAGGCTTCGACGTTGGTGAGGGTTCTGTTCTTGAAAATCTACGCGAAAGTATAATTCGTGAATGTAGATACTGTACTATGTTTATATGCTTCCCGTGTCCGACCGAATATACGGGAGAAAATTAAAATGTATCGTAGCATTAATCCTGTACTGTACATGTAACTAATGACATCCATATACTTAATACATTATACACGGATAATGACACAGCAAATACAACAGTATAATTATGTTCTTTGGGTCTTTCGGTAAAGTCATGTAGATTGGTCAATGAAAATACCAAAAAACTACGACGTTTCGATCACAACACAAGCGACCGTCATCATGACTTTCCCGAAAGACCCAAAGAATATGAATTCCTGCAGTCACGAAAGCATTAAGTCAAGATTTAAAATAGAATGAATAAAATAAAACGCATCAAGGCATCATACTATACATTTTGAAGTTGTATTTACCTTGGATTATGATGGGGGTATGTTGGCGATGGTTGTGTTGGAGAGCAAGTCTATCGAACGACTACTTTTTGAGCGAGCGCATCACTTTTTTCTGCCGTTCAGTCTTGCCCTCACTTTCTCCACTCACTCGATGCTTAGACCCCATGATCAAAATATAAAAAAACACAAATAAGGCAAAAAATAGCACTTGAACAGTAAAAGCTTCAGCGTTGAGATCTTGGCACAACGGGATTTGATGCACATGCTGGGGGCGACAGTAGACCGCTGTGATGTGCAAGTACTCCCCCATGATGCAATGTTGACAAATCTCGAATAGTCGAAGGAAAAAGGCATGAAACTTCAACTGATATGCAAATATAAAATCGTGAATAATCAAATTTTGGTTTAACACGTAGGCTTTCGCGACCAATATCATCCATAATAGAGTTTTTTTTGGTTAGATCGTGTAAATATATAAATGTGTCGTTAAAACCCGCCACCACCCGACACAGCCAACTAGTAAGGGCTGTCATATGGCTTGACTCTCCAACACAACCGGTTAGTGCTGTACTCGTGACTAATTTGCACGTTCTGTTTATGTGACAACCCTTACTAGTTGGCTGTGGGCGGGTGGTGGCGGGTTTTAACGACACATTTATATATTTATGCGATATAACCCAAAAACCTCTATTATGGAATAAAACTTTGCTAAATTATTATCTGTGAATGAGGAGGGTTTACTGTAATCGAATCAATTTTATTTTAATTAGATGACCAGCAGCATACTCTTTGGTTCTTTCGGTAAAGTCACTTAGGTGAAAATAAAATAAAATAAAAAATAAAAAATCACGATGTTTCTGGCGCAACACAAGCGTCCGTCGTCCTTAGATGGGGACAACCACAGCGACAAAACAATCGCTAAAGTATGTCAAAGAGATGGCTGTGATGAGGGATTATAGAGCTGAGGGGGGGGGGCAGGGTGAGTGTGGGGGTGGGGCGTGGGCTGGAGGAGAGTTACTCCCAGCCCTGCTCACTCCCATCACTTGGAAGATTTGCCGGGCAGGGTTTCGAGCTTGCAGAGTTCACAACCCCCCCCCCAACGGTTCACAGCTTCAGTTTGAACTCTCGGATTCTCCAGCCCACGCCCCACGCCCCGCCCCCACACTCACCCTGGCTCCCCCCCCCTCAGCTCTATAATCCCTCGTCACAGCCATCTCTGTGACATACTCTAGCGATTGTTTTGTCGCTGTGGTTGTCCCCACCTGAGGACGGACGCTTGTGATGCGCCCGAAACGTCGTGATTTTTAATATTTATTTTATTATTTCCCTTCTAAGTGACTTTACCGAAAGAACCGAAGAGTATGGATCCTTGCAGTCACGAAAACTTCAAATCTAGAATTAGCTGACCAGCACTTAGTTCTAAGCATGCACAAGAAGCGTCTGTATTTAATGTATTTGATTTTTTTTTGGGGAATTCTTAAAACTTACAAAAATGCAGAGGATATTGGTGGATGGAGTAATTTGTAAACGTCTCCTACACGTGCTGCCATGAGTCACTATCCCCTTCTGAAAAAAACTCATGGGCACCCGACGCCTCTGCCTCCATTGAACCAGGCTGGTGAGAATGTTACTGATGGTCATGCGTTCGTGTGCGCACACTTCTCTGCTGTGCCACAGAACCTCATCACAGGCAACAGAAGTGGTGGGAGCTGTATTCGCCGTAAAGATGAAACCACCTTCGTGGTTTCCATGCCGGAGGACCCAGCCGAGATTGAAGCGCAGATCCGGGGCCAGGAGGAGATGTACAAGATGAGGACAAAGGTGCTTGAATGCTAATCGCCATGGTTGTACGCTGCTTTGTCAATGACTGCTCACTCGCATCAATCGTCTTCTTTCGTATGGCATGTAAGCAACAGTTTGTGTAGATGTCATAGTTGAATTTTAAGGTCCTTCAACCAATCCAAGGCGGCAGTAGACGCTGTACGGATTGCAGCGGTACCGCCAGGGTGTGCGTGGGCGGCTCATTCGTCGGTGGTGTGTTTGATGGTTTGGGCTTTACCACAGTCGCAGATTGGCAATTATTTGATTTTCCATTTATGGAACAACGTGCATGCCGCACATCTCCCGTGCTGCGTCCGATCGCGGTTCAGTGTGGTCCACAGCCGTCGTGAGAGAGAGAATCTCAGCAGCGCACATCCATAAATGAGACAAATTTTCATTTTTATTTACCTTCGATTATGATGGGAGTATGTTGGGGATGGTTTTGTTGGAGAGCAAGTCTATCGAACGACTACTTTTTGAGCGATCGCATCACTTTTTTTTTGCCTTTCAGTCTTGCCCTCACTTTCTCCACTCACTCGATGCTTAGACCCCATGATCAAAATATAAAAAAAACGCAAATAAGGCGTTCAGATCTTGGCACAACGGGATTTGATGCACATTCTGGGGGCTACAGTAGACCGCTGTGATGCGCAAGTACTCCCCCATGATGCAATGTTGCCAAATCACGAACAGTCGAAGGAAAAAGGCACGAAACTTTTAACTGATATGCAAATATAAAATCGTAAATAATAACATTTTGGTTGAACACGTAGCCTTTCGCGACCAATATCATCCATAATAGAGGTTTTTTGGGTTAGATCGCGTAAATATATAAATGTGTCGTTAAAACCCGCCACCACCCGACACAGCCAACTAGTAAGGGTTGTCACGTAAACAGAACGTGCCAATTAGTCACTAGTGCAGCACACCGGTGTGTTGGAGAGCCAAGCCACTCAGATTGTAAGAGTATGTATTTAATGTATTTAATTTTTCTTGCTTTTTTGGGGAATTCTTAAAACTTACAAAAGTGCAGAGGGTATTGGTGGATGGAGTAATTTGTAAACGTCTCCTACACGTGCTGCCATGAGTCACTATCCCCTTCTGAAAAAAACTCACGGGCACCCGACGCCTCTGCCTCCATTGAACCAGGCTGGTGAGAATGTTACTGATGGTCATGCGTTCGTGTGCGCACACTTCTCTGCTGTGCCACAGAACCTCATCACAGGCAACAGAAGTGGTGGGAGCTGTATTCGCGTCAACGATGAAACCACCTTCGTGGTTTCCATGCCGGAGGACCCAGCTGAGATTGAAGCACAGATCCGGAGCCAGGAGGAGATGTACAAGATGAGGACAAAGGTGCTTGAATGCTTATCAGCATGGTTGTACGCTGCTTTGCCACGTTAATACAGGTAGTCCCCGAGTTACGATGGCCCGACTTACGATATTTAGATCTTACGATGGCGATAGCGATACGACAAAATTGCCATCGACAACCTAACATCGTTCAAGTATGCAGACGACGGACATAATCTCGGTGAGTACAGTACAATATGTTACAATACGTTCAATGCATGTATGATACGTAGCTTTAGCGATTTCATTTTAAGGTTACCACGATACGATACGTTCAATGCATGTTGAAAGTTTTTATAGCAGATAGGATTGTTTCCTGAAAAAAACTTTCTATTAAATTGCAGTTCATATCGGTAGGCTAAGAATTTACCTTGTTTTTTTACTTTACATTTTACTGTGCAATACAGTATTGTAATTAATAAATACATACAGTTCTTCCTAGCGTTGTTCCCGCTGTGGCGCAGGGTCCGCTTTTCGGCATTGTCTTCTCCATTTGGCTCGGTCCAGGGCATCTTCAGGGGATGCGTTGACCGTCTTCATGTCTTCCTTTATTCGGTCCATCCATCGCTTCTTCGGACGTCCGCGTGGACGGCGGCCCTCTGGCTCAATACGCACGGCAGTCTTGGCCACTGATGACTCTTCACTTCGCATCACATGGCCGTACCACCGAAGCCTTGCCTCAAGCATCTTGTCCGCAATGGGGGCCACACCAAGTCGCTTCCGAACGTCTTCGTTCCTGACACGATCCCATCGAGTGAGCCCGAGGCTCCATCTGAGCATCCTCATCTCCATGGTGTGGAGAGCTTGTTCGTGTACAGTTGTGGCTGGCCAGCACTCGGATCCATAGAGTGCCACCGGTCGGACGATGGTCTTGTATATTTTTCCCTTCAGCCTATCCGGCATTTTCCGATCACAGAGGACTCCGGTGACTTGCCTCCATTTCATCCACGCCGCATTGACTCGTGACCTCACATCAGTCGTGATGCTACCATCTGAGCTGATGGTGGAGCCCAGGTACTTAAAGTCCATCACTTTCTTCAGATCTTCTCCGTCAATACTGATGGTGCCGTCGGTTTGGGGGCCACACTCCATATACTCCGTCTTTTTGATGTTGAACCTCATCCCGTTTTCGTCCAAACGTTCCTTCCACAGGCGCGTTTGTCTTTCCACTTCTCCTCTCTCTTCATCTGAGAGGAGGACGTCATCCGCGTAGAGAATTGACCATGGAAGGGGCGTGTGCAGGTCGGCAGTGATCGTGTCCATGCACAGGATAAACAGGAGTGGTGACAGGGCCGATCCTTGGTGCACTCCAACGCTGATGGCAAATGGCGGTGATATGCCCACTGCACACCTGACTGCACTGGTGACGTTCTTGTATAGGAGTTGCACCCAATGCACGTAGGTTTCAGGGACTCCATGGGATCGAAGCGAGTGCCAGATGAGGTCGTGGGGGACCCTGTCAAATGCCTTTTCAAGGTCGAGGAACGACACGTGCACAGCTTTGTTCTTCTCTCTGTGCCTCTCCAGCAGGAGCCTCGCCGCGAATATGGCGTCCGTAGTGCCACATCCTTTGACGAAGCCGCATTGGTTGGGTGATAGGGTGATGATGTTTCTAATCCTCGTGTCCAAAACTCGCTCAAAGATCTTCATCGCATGACACAGGAGCCTGATTGGCCTGTAATTCGAGCATTCTGCCACGTCCCCTTTACCCTTCCAAATTGGAACCGTCGTGCTGGTCGACCAGGCTTCTGGGACCTCACTGGTGCTCGTGATGGTGCTGAAGAGCTGGGTAAGGAGGGCAGCACCCTGCCTGCCAAGGATCTTCCAGGCCTCAGCAGGGATATCGTCTGGGCCAGTCGCTTTCCCATTCTTCATTCTCTTGATAGCTTGTTCCACTTCAGTGATGGTGATAGGTGAAACCGGACCGAGGACGTGTTCAGCGCTAATAATAGGTGGGTGGGGAAATTCCTGGTTGCAGATTCCAGAGAAGTAGTCGCTCCAGCGTTGAAGGATGGCGGGCGGGTCTCTGAGAGCGCTGTGATTCTCATCCTTTATGCATTTGACCTGACCAATATCCTGAGTCGAACGATGGCGCGCCTCTGCCAGTCGATAGATCTTATTGGCACCTTCTGGGGTGTCCAGTTCGACATACAGTTGGTCGTATTGAGCTAATTTCACCGCTGCAACTACTCGCTTCGCTGCCGATTTGCAGTTTCTGTAATGTTGGTAATCCAGATCTGCGAGCGTTTGGCGCCACTTCTTGAAAGCTAGCTTCTTCTCTTTCACTGCTAGCTGAACTTCTTCGTTCCACCACCATATTTGCTTGTCAATGAAGTGTTTTCCCGGCTTAGTTAGCCCCAGTGCTTCCGTTGCTGCTGTGCACAGTTGGCCGGCGAGATCTTCCCAAATCGCATTCGCCGGTCGGTTGGTGTTCACGTCAATCTGATTAAAGGCAACTCTCAGCTGATCCTTGCATTCCTTCATCCGCCACCACTTAATTCGCTGCTGTCCAGTTGTTGGTGGGCGATGTCGCTGGCCAATGTCCATTTTTATGTCCATGACCAGGATGCGATGTTGTGGGGCGATGTTGTCCGATGGTATGACTTTAGTGTTTGTCACCGTTTTCAGCTTATCCCGCTTGACAAGCCAGTAATCAATTTGAGTTGATCTCCCACCACTGGCGTACGTAATGAGATGGGACGGTCTCTTCTTGAAGAAGGTGTTGGCGAGGACAAGATCATGGGCTTCCGCAAAGTCCAGGGCTCGGTTTCCCTCATCGTTCCGGGTACCATATCCTTGGCCACCATGGTTTCGAGGGTATCCATCCCGGGCGCTTCCAACGTGTCCATTTAGGTCTCCACCAATTACTAACTGCTCTTCATTTATCGATTGCATGTGTCCATCAAATTGTTCCCAAAATTCCTCCTTGGTATCTGCTGGGCAGCCGGGCTGCGGCACATAACAAGATACCACCCGGAGGCGTAGGTCGTTTGAGTCGATTTCGATGGACATGAGGCGGTCGGAAACGCGGTGGACGGCCACGACGTTGTCTCGTAGATTTTGGCTGACTGCGATTCCAACGCCGTTCTTGGTGTTTCTTTCACCGTTGTAGAACAGTTTGTATCCTTCTCCAATCTCCCTGGCCTTTGCTCCACTCCACTTCGTTTCTTGGATGCATACGATGTCGATACGACGGGCCTTTAGGGCAGCTGACAATTCTCGACTTCTCCCTGTCAATGTTCCGATGTTGAGTGTTCCCAGCCGTAGTCGGACTAACTTCTTTAGCCTGCCCCATCCATGAGCAGGTAGCCCTCGTCCACTTCTCGCGTCGTTTGGGCGAGGACGGCGCGCGTTTCCCCCGAGGGGTGCCCTAGCTTGTTCCAAGTTGTTTTGACGTTGCCATAGATGCGACACAGAAATACTTTGGCCGGTGGGTCGCTCCATCTGACGCCAAAGACCCTCACCGTTGGTTGGAATCCAGCCGGCACCGCGTGGAGGTGGTGATGGGATTTTGCCGGCCAATAAATACATACAGTATATAGTTTATACAGTACGGTACTGTAAATTGCTGTGTTTTGCTAAATTATCACCATTCTTTAAGACTCCTGGGTAGGCTAGGCCATCTTTGACTTACGATATTTTCGACTTACGATGGGGTCGTCGTAACGCATCTCCATCGTAAGTAGAGGACTACCTGTATTTAATTTGTCAATGACTGCTCACTCGCATCAATCTTCTTCTTTCGTATGGCATGTAAGCAACAGTTTGTGTAGATGTCATAGTTGAATTTTAAGGTCCTTCAACCAATCCAAGGCGGCAGTAAACTCTGTACGGATTGCACCGATACCGCCAGGGTGTGCGTGGGCGGCTCACTCGTCGGTGGTGTGTTTGATGGTTTGGGCTTTACCACAGTCGCAGATTGGTGATTCTTTGATTTTCCATTTATGGAACAACGTGCATGCTGCACATCTCCCGTGCTGCGTCCGATCGCGGTTCAGTGTGGCCCACAGCCGTCTTGAGAGAGAGAATCTCAGCTGCTCCCATCCATAAATGAGACTCCTTCACACCTGTACTACCTGTCCCTCCATTGGCTCCAAATACAGTCCCTGATCAGTTTCAAGACAACTCACCGTCATGGACTTGCCCCTGCCTACCTCTCTCCTCCCATCCCACGTTATATTGTTTTTGGAAGCAGTTAGACACCGCTTCGTATGCGAATATGGCCCATGATAGTAGATATCACAGAGTTAGCTCTGAGATTCCTTCAAGTTACCTGGTCTAGACACCAAAGGGCACATTTTTCTGCATGCTCTGACTTATGACAGTAATGTTTGCTCACAGGCTGCCGACATTGGCAGCCGGGAAGCCGTGCACTAAAACCTCTCGGTTAAATCCAATAGAAAGATGTTAACTTTGTAACAATCCCTCTGTCTACCTCCAATATCTGTCTCATCACCGCTATGTTGTCTCCCTTGTTGCCTCTTCTACCAATGCCTCCATGATCAGTGCTTTGTTACAAGTTTCAGACAACTCCACCCGTGTCTGCTGGCCAATATGTGTCACTCCCATCTCTTCATCTAGCCATGCAAATTATATCCTTTAGGACCTGCGGCATAACTTGTACGTGCTACAAAGAAGAGTCATTGCGTTGTCTATTATATATTTTTTTATACATTTTAGGGCCACAGAGTTATTGATTGTTTAATTTGTATTAGTTATGCTTGTGCACAACTGCCAACGCAGCATCACCAAAATAAAATGCAGCATAAATCACTTAGCTACATCCTTCGCACCCCATACTGGGGTGTGGGATGCCACGGTGGTGATATGTTAACTACTTTGCCTGGTATGCAGGAGGTCACAGGTTCGATCACAACCCTGACGCCTGTATATTTAGCATTTGCGTGTCTCTCTGCTCATGGTCGTGTAGATTTTCCTCTCTGGGTCATCTGGTTTTTCCCTCCACAATTAGAAACATGCGTTTGGAGTATTTGGCTACTTTTATAAATGTACACGTGTTAAGCCACTTGGTTGAGCTCTCATTTTTGGACAGGTCGCTTCTAAAGAAAGAGCTACATAGCTCTGGGCCTTACCAGGTAAAATTAACTAAAATTGTTCAATTTAATAATAGTTTAGATTTGGCCATAGGTGTTCATTTGTTCTTTTGGTTGATTCATTGCGGCTTTATTGATATAATTGGTATCGATGTCGGCATCAGTGGGGATGACGACATATATAGCTCAGTGGGCCTTACCTGGTAAAATAAAAAAAAGTTTCTTTTAGATGAATGTTCAAACTCATTGCCCATCAATTTCTAGTCGATTATTCAACCTAATTTCCGAATCGTCCCCGTTGCTGAACTCGTTTCCGGTGCCCCTCCCAACAGGTCCTGCTGCACCAGCGGTGCAAGCGCCTGGAGGCAGCGGAATGTGCCATGCAGCAGCAGGCCACCCAGCAATTCAAGCGCTACGAGGAGGAGCTTGAGCTGGAGCAGCGGCTGGAGCAGGAGCGACGCAAGGACGAGCTGGATAAGAGGTGACTGGACACGGGTAGGGGAGCTAGCAGAGGTCGCAAACGGGTTTTGATTCCTTACCCATACCTGTACCCGGCCGCACCAGGGTCGCACACGGATACCCGTACCCGGCCGTACCCTACCCGTACCCTACCCGTACCCTACCCGTACCCGGCTGGGATGAAGCCATGTTGCAGGTGCGGGTGGGTTGATTCTAGGAACTTGAATTGTGAGAAGAGACAAGACGTTGGGAAATGAGTGACAAACAGTTACTCACCAGTGACTCACGGTCTACCCGTACCCGGCCGCACCAGGGTCGCAAACGGGTACCCGTACCCGTACCCGGCCGGGTAGCCGGGTATCGGGTAGGGTACGGGTATCGGGTACCCGGTTGCGACCTCTGGGAGCTAGCAAGCCGTGGGCGAGGCAGTGGGAAGAGGCGGACGTTTTAAGTGGCCAGGGGTTGGGACGACCGGTGGACATGATAGGTGCTGATTCGGGGCTGCAACCAGTTATTGTAGGTTTGTGCATACGAATATCATTGCTAACGACTGTTGATTTAATTTATCTGAACGGAATTTATATAGCGCTTTAACCGTGGCGCTTTACAAAGAATGAACAATGTTACAGCGTGTGAATGAAATGGTGGAGATGAGGTGAATGAAATTAATGACAGTAAGCAATCGGGGCGTATCTGTGAAGCGGGAATTTGGTGAAAGCTAAATTGATGACAGTCAATGAAGATGAATGGATTGTTGTGGATACCACATGCGCAAGTGGAAAATAGAAGCCGCTGCGGCTACGAACTCCAAACCGTGGACTTCTTAGCTTTGCACTACCCCAGATATAAGTTGAAAGGTGTCGGGTGGGTGTATCTGAAATTCAACAACTCTCAGACGAAGTAATTGAATGACTAAATAATTTACAATTTAATATCTAATAGGCGTTCTCTATTAGGCCGCACAAATAGAAGCAAGAAGATTTAACTGGTTGCTGTGTTTGTTTTTGTTTAGCTTGATAGAGGCTCAGAAGAAGCTGGAAAAAATTATGGAGGAGCATCAAGACCGAACGAAGGTAAAAATCTTGCTGCTGGAGAACATAAAAATCAGAAACTTTATTTATCCTGGAGTAATCTGATGCGCTGTGAAGCTCTTTTTCGCAAATGTCCAGTATGGGTGGGTCAGAAAATTACAACAAACAAACGAAATTATATAAAAACAAAACCATGGCCCAAGCGAGGAGATGGTCGGCTGCATCAGAGGCCGAATACCGCGGTTCAAGGACACTGAGCTGGCATTGCTGAGATCCTCGACTCAAATCCGGGTTGCCCTCGGCCAACCACCCTCAAAACCGCCGCGCACTCGTGTTGCACGAGTTGCTTTTCACCTTACCCAGGGGTCGACAACCAAAATGCCAAGAAGAGCCATTTTTTTCGAATTCGATTAAAAAATACTTTAATTTAAGAGCCGCAATGCGCATGTAGGATGTACGAGATGGTGGTCCTGAATAAATAACGTCACCAAGCGGTCCTGAAAGAGCCGCACACGACTCCAGGGCCGCAAGATGCTGACCCCTCATCTCTAGCCATATGCACGAGACCACCACTCTTCCCGTGTCTCCACCGGTTCCCGTCTCCATAGGTGCTGAACATTCGCTTGCACGAGGCGGCCGAGCAGCACCGGCGCGAGGAAGAGGAGGAGCGGCGCCGGCTGGCAGAGGGTCACGAGCGCGCGCGCCGCCTCAACGCGCTGCAAGAGGAGATGCTGGCGCTGAACCGACGGGCCCAGCCGTCTCCGCCGCAGCCCGGCGCCGCTGCCACCGCAGCCGGCGCTCAGTCGGGGGCGCTGGCGCAACTGGCCGAGCTGCGCATACGCGCCGGGCAGCTGTGCGACACCGTCGCCACCGCCATCAGGAACAGCTCGGATGTGAGCCATCGCCACGTGCTCGTTAATGCAATCAACGATATGGATTGATCCGTTTCGCTCGCAGATACTTGTGTATCTGACGAGATGTTAAATACCTCGCCTGGTATGCAGGAGGTCGTGGGTTCGATTCCGACTCTGACGCCTGCTGCTGTATATTTGGAGTTTCCATGTCTCTCCGTAGTTTTATCTTTATCTCTCCTCCGGATTTTCCCTTCACATTTAGAATCAATGTGTGTATAGATTATTTGAGCCACCACGCTGAGCTATCATTTGTGACCAGGTCGCTTCTGAAAAAGAGTTATATGGCTCAAGTGGGCCTTACCTAGTAAAAAAAAATGTATATTTAGAATTTTATTTGGGCCACCTCTTCCCCTATTATATTGATTATCATATCAAATTGTTAAATGGAACATTTGCTGATTCTTTGTCAGATTATATGGTTTATTTATATATATATTTTAACAGTGGTACTTGAACCAGCAAATTTAGGAACTGCCGTAACAGACAACATACCCTTATGAGTTGCGTCGTCATGGTCGTGTTGCGGGGCGCGCTGTCTGCAGAGCGGTGGCTTAGGCCCAAGCCCGCAAGACCTCGCGCATGCGGAGCAAGTCTTGGCGGAGATGAGGCTCCTGGCCGTGCAGGTGGAGGCGTTGAGGCTCCAGGAGGAACGGCGCTTGGAGGCGGAGAAGGGGGACGCACAGCGCCTGGCACTGGAGCTCCAGCAGCAGCAGCACCAGCAGCAGCAGCAGCAGCAGGAGAGGGAGCAAGCCGAGCAGCAGAAACGGCAGCAAAAGAAGGAGGAGGAGGAGACCCGAAATGCGAATCAAGGTCAGACATCTTCCCCCACACCGCCACCTGCTTACGTGGTGATAGAAGCGGTTTCGTGGGCTTCGCGAAGAGTTGAAGTGAACTTGAGGTGGCCTCTTGGGCCCTGTGATGAGAAAAATTATGCAGATCCATCTGATTTGATGGCAGCTACCTGAACAAGGACTATGTCGGTCCCTGGATATTCACACTCAAGGCTGTATAGGATTGTATATTGGTTCCTGATTGTAAAAGGTTGGGTGTCAGTCCCTGGCTATTTTATGGATGCGTTTCGGTTCCTGGTTATAAGAGACTGTGTCTTGGCCCCAGCTATAACAAGCAGGGTTCATCCCTGGTTATAATGGACTATTGGTACCTCAACAGGTTGTTACCGGTTGTGTATCACTGCTGGTGAGCACAGCTGCACGCCGCTTCCCGCTCGCGCCTTGTTTGACGTCGTGGTCGTTGCGCACAGTGGGCTTGCAGCGCACGGACGGCAGCATCCTGAGCTGGTCCAAGGACCTGCAGGGCAAACTGGAGGAGACCTTGAAGAACATGGACGGCCTCAACAGCAGCAAAGACCCCAAGGTGCGGACCGTTACCCCTGTGGCAGTGATACAAAGGTGGTTGTGAGTTCGTACTGCCGTATGTATTTAGTGAATGCTATTGCACGTGACTTTCCACAGTCAAAACACTCGATACAATTGCAAACATACCTATAGATATACAAGTAAATAAATGCTATTTGATTGGACATGAGCCCCCACGGAGCCACAGAGCCACCTTGCAGCCTCCTCCTGCAGCACGTGCGGGGCCACCAGTCCGCCCGGCACGCCCCGACGCACTTCACAGCCGGAGACGATGAGCACCATGGCCTCCCTTGCTCCCCGCACGCACACAGTGGGCTGTCACGGAGGCCCCGTCAATTTCCGGAAGCAGCAACACACTCCCTGGTCACACCGAAGCCGTTTAACTGCACCCGTTTGCGCCTTGGGAGGTCAAAGCCAGGCATCTGAAGGGAGGGAGCGCTTATGAGGTCCGATCACATAGCCCCTGTCCAGAGGGGAGTTGGGGCTTGGGGCGGGGCGACTGGACATTGCTTTATTTTTTTTCTGCATTTTAACAATCTTTTCTCGCTTGTGCTGTCGTCATCGTGTCACGAGATGAAAAGTCCATTTGGATGTCTCGCAGAGAAGTGCGACCCTCCCTGTTGGAGAATGGCCCCATGAACCTGAACGCCTGGGTTAGATCATCGGCCGCGGCTAACATTGCTCGGTCTTAACATGACCACCTTGTGCTACGTGTAAACAGCAGCACTGGGGAAATAAAAGCGGTCCTTGCGTGGTGCTGGCCACGGCAACGTCACACGTGGCACGAATAGATGCTCGCTAACAGCACTTGCTTCAACAGTCGATAAGGCTGTATGGGGGATCGTTGTCTGTGTGTGCGGTGTGCAGATCAAGGCCATTAAGTTTGATCTTGCCAAGGCAGTGTCGACACCAGTGTCACAAATCTGCTCCACATCAGGTGAGGACCATCCCCTCCCCTATTGCAGCTTCAAGTCTGACCCATGACCCCTCAGGTTGACACACAATCACGTGGATTATGTAGCATAGGCATTGCATTGTGAGTGCAATATTTTAGCAGTGCCTGTAACCATGTCACCTGGAATGCGCCTGAGCTCATCTGATTGTGAAAGCCAATTGGGTTTGGGATAGCATTTGGATGGGTAACTGGCATACATGAAACAAATTTTGTCGGCTGCTGCCGTGCTGTGTTGTCAGAAGGGACCAGTGCAGAAACAAATCATGATTGTGCTCCAATGTTTGCACTCACCGCTTTCACCAACCCACGCTGACCAGTACAGTAAAGCGTGGTCAGATAACCCTTACGTGGGGAGGCAGATCATGGGGAGGCCTTCATCCACCAGTCGTCTGGCAAAGGGGAAGTACAAATACATGGAGCGCGATTGTCAAACGCATTGATTCCGCTCCATCTGTCCTCCCACTTTGTTCACATTACCCGCTGTTAACCACGCCGCCCACTTAGTCATCACTCGTTTCTGTTTATTTCTGCGTCTTCTCGCGTATTTTTTTGTGCACGTGTGAATGACCCTGTGTGTCCTTGTGTATTTGTCTGTTCCCCCGTATCCCATTTCTTCTATGTCTCCCTGTGCATGTTGTGGTTGTCCCTTGTTGTGTACCGTGTGTTGTGCGTATTCCATGACCAGGCTCTCACCTGTACGATATTACGGGGAAGCTGAACTCGCTGCTGAGCAGTCAGACGATCGAAGTAGGCACCCGCTCCATCAGCGTTACTCGCCACCCGCAGGGCCTTCTCTACGCTCAATTCAAACTCGGCGAGAAGCTGGTGGTAAGTCGAAATGCCACACGGCCGAGCGTCAGGGTCCATATTTGCCAAATTCGTAAATTACCTGCAAATTCCTTCATTGGGACTATCTTAACGAAATTTATGTTGAGCCTTAACCAAGGCACTTCACGAAGAATTGACAATGGTACAACAACAATGTGTGAATGTAATGGTGGAGATAGGGTGAATATATGAGAGGAAGTAATGGGAGCGAATCTGTGATGATGCGTGAATTCGGTGAAGGCGAAATTGAAGACGGTCAATGATGATGAATGTATCGAATGAATGGGGAATGAGTGAAAGGCATAGCATGGGAATATGAAGAGGGGAACAGTAATGGTGGTGTGGTTATGAGGGGGAGATTTAAAGGGTCGTGGGGTGAGCTACGGAAAATAAGTGAGGTTTCAGTGAGGAGCGGAAACTAGCGAGCGAAGGCGGCCGCTTAATGTGGTGGGAAGTTTGTTCCAGTGAAGGGGGGTGACAAGAGATGAATAGTGAAAGCGTGGATTTAGCGCAAGGAGGAGAATTAGGAACAACAGAGAGAGACGACAAAGATTGAGAACGTGGAGGGCGAGAAGGCGACACGTAGAGAGGTACAAGCGTGTCAAGCTGTGGTGGGGCCAGACCATGAAGGGGTTGGTAGACCAGGGTGCAGCAGACTCATGCGACTCTTGCAAACGATACTACCCTGGTCTGTTGAGTCCTCACCTGATTAAACAAAGTCGATGGGAAACTCGCATTTTGTTCGCCGTTCAAACACACCCCACATGCCCATTCATCCACTTTGTCGTCGTCGTCCACGAAAATCTGCTCCTCGGCTTTGTATGGCAGTTCGTCCAGCAGAGGATAGCTCAAGGCAGTGCGTCTGTTTGCCCGCTGTTCCTCCGTGCCTCTGCAGAAACAAGGAGAGGAGGAGGTGGCGTCGCAGCACAAGGCGGCGTTCCCCATCGCGGCCGTCGCCATAAGCCTGTGGGACCGCCACCCGGCCCTCGGGGAGCTCCTCCTCGCTCACATGCACCGCAAGTGCCCCTACACCGTGCCCGTCTTCAACCTTCCCACGCCAGGGCAGAACCAAGAGGACTTTTTCAGGTAATGGCGAAGCCCGGTACGTGGGGGATGAGGGGCGCGCGAGAGAAGCAGTGTTTGGTGATCGGTTAGGGTGTCGCTCGAAATTCAAGTTTTGTTATTATCAGGGTTACATCTCCTGGTTTCATTCATTCGCCTGTTGCACTGAGGTGCTTTGGAGTTAAAGGCAATCTTATCGATATTTATTGGTTGCTCAACACGTTTGAAACGTGCATTGTAGGCAATGCATCAAGTCGTCGTAGTGTAGGCACAGATAGAGATAAGTAAAGTGGGAGGCTGAGCGACCTGTGAATATTAACAGAGTTGAATGATATTTTCAACATTTGACTTTTGCATTAGAAGTAACAAAATGAGAGGTTGTGATCCCAGAAAACTAAAAAAAAATTCCATATGCAAATTGAGTGGCAGCCTAGTAACGGTGATGGGTGAGGGGCGATTGGTGACAATCAGACAAATTGTTTTAATTCTCACAGAAGGAATAATCCAACGTCATATTACAATTTTTTCCGCAGTCATTTGTGAGTGGACTGAGCTCGTCAACTCGGCACACTTGAGAATGCGGTTTAATAGCAGCCACCTGAAACTCGGATTCAAACCCAGGACAGCTGGGCCTTGTGCCAATATTCTTGCTTGACTGGTGCCCCTATCCTGTCTCTCTTACCCGCAGGAGCCTTGGTTACTGTTACGATGGCAAGACACTCGAGAAACAGGACCTCTTCCTCAACCGTATGTCGGGCATGATGCGCCTCTACGCAGCCATCATCGCCACGCCCGTGCCCTCTCCCAGCACGAACAAGGTACGGTTGTGCCAGGTTAATTACTATAATAATTACATTCGTCAAGGATCTCAAAACGCTGTACAGGACACAGATGCAGCAGACACTCAGTATATAAATAATTATATTATGAATACACAAAAATTCATTTACTCATCGAACTAAAAGTTTAATAAGCGGAAGTGTATAAGTCGGTTTTAAGACGCATTTTAAAATGTCCCCACAGAGATCCCTGATATCTTGTGGAAGAACTTTCCATAGCCTGGGGGCAAGACAGGAAAAATCTCGGTCACCAATAAACTGAAGCCTCGACCTGGGATTGCAGAGAAGATCTGCATCCCCGCATCTTAAGGATCTTGTTGAATGCTTTCTACTCTAGGCACATTCATACGTCGGGGTTAGGGACTGGAAAGTTTCGACTTATAACGAAACGCTGTATAACGAGGATTTTTTCCCCCATAGGAATAAATGCTAATGGGAAAGGGGGAGGGGGAGATAGGGACTGTGAGAGCATCAACATTGCCTCCTCTTACGTGCTGATGAGCGCTACACTGCGTGCTCCGTGTGTGCTGTTCATGTTTTTGCGTAACAGAGCTATGTGCGTGTGTGTAACAGAGCCATCCCCATGGCTTGCAGTACGGCTGGCGGTGGATTGCACAAATGCTGAACTTGGAGCCAGTGTCCGACATCTCTGCCACCATGCTCTTTGACTTCCTCGAGGTATGCACAAGTACAGACTGTTTAGGCAATTGTTGTTAGCAAGCACTTGTGAAGGCACGGCACACGGGGGGCTGCGTGATCAACACCATGCCCAACCACCTTTGTCTCCCCAAGGCTGATATATACACACCACAACCAGTTAAATCTTGATTTGAAGCTTTCGTGACTGCAGGAATCCATACTCTTTGGTTCTTTCGGTAAAGTCACGTAGGTATAAAAATAACAACCAGTTACTCATTCAAGGGCTGAGTCGACTTCGGGAGGCCCAGGAGGACTACTTTATACATTCTCCACTGTTATTGGTTGTGAGCGGGAATTGAACTCGGGTGGTTAGGTTCATAACACAGAAGTACAACAAGAACAACCACCGTTCACTAAGTGGCGGTGATGTCACCACAGTGCTTGTGCAACGCTAGGTGCGCACGCCACGTGAAGTGTCGAAGGCCCGCTGGCAGGAGGTCACGGAACAGACCCATGGGTTGACAGACTAAGATGACTTGCAGATGCACCACCTGTGCTCTCCGCTGCGTCAACTTCCTGCGTTTGAGCCGCCCGACACTCTGCTCGTTGTTGTGTCCACGTCGCTCGTCTGCTCTCCATTATTGCTGGAGGGCGACTGCCAAACCTCTTCCACAGAGGCCGATCTTGACACTGCTGGTACCAGTCTTCGGCGAGTCGAATCAGCTCCAAATCAATCTGTACCGCATCAGTCCATCTCTTCTATAGCCCATGCTGTGCCCGTTTAGCCCCATCTATCCAGCCAAACAAGCTACTTGGGCATGCTGTGGCTGGGCATGCGTGTTACGTGACCCAGCCAAGGCAGCCTCGTTTGCTGGAGGAGCTCACTGATGGGACTGTGTCGAGATCTTTGAAGGATGTGAGTGCCTCACACAATCCAGTCTGGTTTAGCCCATAATGGATCGTAGGCAGGCTAGCCTGAATGTTTCAAACCAGCGCAGATGTCCCTTTAGAGGGCTTCATGTTTCGCAAGCGTAGAAAAGGGAGGGCACAACTGTGGCTGAGAAAACCCAAAGCTTCATAGGTAGCTTCCACACAGCATTACGCAGATGATGAAAAAATAATGCCGCTCGACTAATTCGGAGTGAGACGCACAAGCAAGCACACATGCACACACACACACGTGCAGGTATACTCATGGTCGTTTGCACACATAATGTACAGGACATACTCGTACATCCGTGCATGCATGCATGTGGGCACGCGTGTTTACACACGCACATGTGCACAAGTACCAAAGCATAGCCCACATATTACGGAATGCAAGTGGACACATGGGAACACATGTAGAACACACAAGCACATGCAAGGGACAGACGCACGCGCATGAACGCGTGCACGTAACATGCACACACACACACACAGACGCGCGCACACGTGTGTACATAAGCCTGAACATACATGAGCACGGATACGTGCACAAATGTAAGCACATGGACACACATTTGGACGTACACACCTACACCTGCTGATAATCTTCCGGCTGTTGGTCTCAGTACATTAACCTGATGTCACATCGACCCGTGGTCGCGTACCTTTCCATGCTGCAAGCTGTTGTTTTCGTGTCGATATTTGTTTGTTTCAAACCTGATTCATTCCATTGATCAAGAAGCTAAAGGTTTTTGGTTCTGGGCATCGCTCACAATCACATGAACGGATCCTCAACAGACCACTTTGGTCATGCCAGTTGACTCTTAGTTAAAGAGGGATTCTATTGAAACGGGTGAGGAACCGACAGTGTGTGGGCTAGGGCACAAGACTTTGTTTCATACAACCCATGGTCACGTGTGGCCTTCCACCTTGAAAGGGCCCAAGAACGGTATTTCTCCATTCACTGCAAGCATCTGAGCTGCATTAGTCAGGTCCTAGAGGGAAATGTTTTCACCCTGGCAATACCGTGCTTCTAATTAAGTGCATTCAGTCACTTCTGTCACCGCAAGGGCACTCGCCACTGATGGGAGCCATGGCAAGTTATGGATCGGCAGTTTCCACATTCATCACTGAGTGCGCTAACCACTGCACCACTGCTCCCTCCCCCATCAGTTGCAGTGTAGTTGAGAGAAATCGAGACTGATGTAACTTGTTTCTGTGTTCCTGGTGGGTGTGTGAGCAGGTGGCGGGTAACGCCATGGAGCGTGCATACTGCAGCCAGTTCTGGAAGCTGCTGTTTTTCATCATCGAAGAATACTTGCCTAGGTAGCTAAACCACCAAGTGTTTCCTGAAGAACTGCACTGTAGTCCTCTTGTCTTAGATCATCACCTGCTGCTGTCAGTCCGTCATATTTGCTCAAATTTATTTTGATGGTGATCTCAGGCGAGGACCACAATGTACTGCTTCCGGAGATGCTGTTTGTTTTTGTTGCATAATGCACAGTGACTGCGTGCTTTTTACACATTCGCATAATGTTTGAAACTTTGGGTTTTCTAGCCTGCACTATTCTCTTCTAATTGGGGTTTCTCATCATTTAAAGATTTTATCCTTGCACACTGTAGTAATATGTTCGATGTGAATTGTAAACTCTGGCACACAAGTCCAGATTTCCACTCTTTGTTAGTAGCAGTGACTTGGACAATTTCATTTATTAAGCTGCCAACAGCTGAGCCCTGATGCAGATGTAGTACCTAAAAGAGCGTATGGCTTGTAAGCATCGAAGTTATCTCTGGATGTGCACACAACCTCACCGAAGTCTGGTTTTGGTCCGTCTTTCAGAATCGAGAAGGTGTCAAGTCCCGCGCAGATGGGATCAGTCAGCAGGCTGAAACTCTTTGTCGAGGTACCACATTCGGCGACGAGCGTTTTGATTGCCCGTTTACATGCAGGTTATGTTACAACATACACTGCCGCAATGCCAATGTTTGGCACACTGACCTCGCGCAACCAGAAATACTCAACGCATTCGTCAACCCAACGCATGCAGTCGCACCTCCGATGAGCAAGGTTGGCTACGTACGGTGCAAAAGAAGTTCTACATACATGCAAACGATGACACTTCCTGTAAAGGAAAATAATAATCTGCGAAATTTCTGGCAGTGGGCCCATCACCGTAGCACATCAAATGTGTTACGGGGATGGCCCATTGCCCAAAACGTTGCTATGATATATATTTCCTTTCAAGGCCACAGTTTTATTGATGAATGTTGGTTTTCTTTTTGTTATCGGCGCTTGTGCACTGCTGCCAATGCAGGATGGTCAAATAATTTGCCATCCAGAGGTTGCAGCTTCGATTCATTCCCCCAGCCTGGTCAGTTCAAATGGGTAAATGTTACTTAACTCGTAAGTTTTTGTAGGCAATATTAAATCCACAATCAACTTTTTGGGCCAGTTTATAAAAAAACTCACTCTGCCAACCCAGCAATATGAATGTGTACACCTACAGTCTGTCGGTAGGTCACGTGTCGTGGGATAAATTGCGGGTATTTCCACCTCGTTCGTTGACGTCTGGCAAGCGTGGAAGATTGTGTGCTCCATAACCTCTGAACGGGGCATCATGACCTGTTGCACTCCTTTAAAGTGGTGGCCTTTCTGCAGTAGCATAAGCAAGTCCTTGCAGGGCGGCACCTTCATGTCATCTCTCTCCCCCCTGCAGCCGATCTCTCTCGTGCTGCTGCGGTGGCCCACTTTACTCCACTGACCCGGGTGCTGCTGCGGGGTCCACTTTCTGCCCCGCCTCCTCCCCCGCCCCGCCCCTTCTCTCTCCCTCCCTACTGCCGAGTCCTATATAACCTCGTGCCACGGCAGACCTTTCGCCTACTTCAGCAGTTGTTTCTCGCTGTGGTTGTCCCACCTGATGACGATTTGCTTGTGTTGCGATCGAAACGTCGCAATCTATTATTGTTCTACCTACGTGACTTTACCGAAAGAACCCAAGAGTATGGATTCCTGCAGTCACGAAAGCTTCAAATCAAGATTGTTGCAACAAGATGAGTAACGTTGTCTTAAGGCTTAACAATCCAAATTCCGTGGCCTGTGCAAGACGTCTATTCAGACTTGCCTTCCCGTACTTATTATTTATTTACTACTCACCTTTCATATGCTATTCGTTACGCACGGTAGCAATTTACTTTGCTCGATCGGTGTTAGCCTCTGAGATCGTGACGTTCTGTGTTGTCATGCCCACTGTCGCCGACTTTTTTCGAGGGCAATATTGGCACGTAAAATAAAGATGAATTGATCGATTGAAGGTGAGATGACGCAAATATTTTAGAAATTGAAATGCGTCTGTTTCGTGAGCATGCTCTGCACACCTTATGGGCATGCTGCCAGGTGGTCAGGGGATGGCAGGGCTTCGAGTGTTTTCCCCTCGTGTGTGTGGGGTTTTCTCCGGGCACTCTTATTACTTCCCACATTGTTGTCGTTGTTGATCACCTTCCACCAGGGCTCATGACAAGAAGTTGGAGGATTAGATTGCCAAGCTCCCTCTACTCAAACCATACAACTCACGACTGATATGAATCGCCATGTGTGTGTTGTGTGTTTTTGTCTACAGAGGTGTATTGCCCGTCGAGTCGTGCCCCAAGCGAGCGGGTATCTCTCCGAAAGTTTCTGGAAGACCTAAAGGGAGAACGGACGCAATGGCGCTTTACAAGGCCCATGACAAGCATCCCTGCGGTGAACCTGATCCAAGTGCCTCTGTCATATTCACAGTGTCTCCTAGTTCGGGGGGTGGGGAGTGCCCCGGTATATCAATTAACAAGTTGATGTTGTTGCCACGAAAACCACATTTTAGCCCGTTTTACAATTTGTTATCTTATTTGTATTGAATTTTTTGATTTCAGAAAAAGGAGAAACAACATTAAAATAAAGTTAAACCACACACACACCACTGAAACTGCCAAAAATCGCGAGCCAATTCTGGAACCCACAATCCAGTGCGCGCTGCATTAGTTATTGCGCCGCGTTAAACTAGGAACCAGCTCGTCTTGATGTTCCTGCTCATCGTGGAGTTGCAGATAATGTGCAGTTGGTATTACATGGAATGCTGCTCAATCCCTGATGTTTGGGAGTGCGAATGTCACGTTTTTTGTTCACTGTTAGCGTTCCCCCAAACAACACTTATACATGGGTGGGACCGTATAACAGGCCACGCTTTTTTATGAACTATGTACATCCATTGAATTACCAGTCGAGGGGATATTGAGAGAGTACGGGAGAGAGTTTTTTAATTGCGTGCATAAAGTGTGCGACAACAGACACGGGGGCAATGCGTACGCATCATTTGAACAAACTATGCGAAGCGATACAGGCAGACCCCGCTTAGCGTGGGCCCATAGAACACTCATTTCACTGTAGCGCTCTGTCCCTAGAAAATTTTAGTTTTTCTACAATAAAAATTCAATGAAACCCAAAAAATCCACAGTCATCTTTTACGAGTGGGAATGCGCGCAGCAGTGCCGGTCGAGGGAAGCGTCCCCGGCCCCCCATCCCGCTCAGCCAATGAGAGCGACGCAAGACCCCCATCCATCCCCGAAGATTATCACGATTCGTAGTCACGATTACTTTTTTAAAACCAAGTTTTAGTATTTTTCCCCCCTTCTCTGGTGAGAACTCGCGAGACCCAGGGCCGAGTCCTCAGGTTCCACCTAAAAGAAACCTCGCCACAGTAAATGTCGACCACGGGCATCACTAAGACCACGGGGGTCCTGGATCACATTCTGCGACAATGACGAGGCGAGCAGCAGCAGCAGCAGCAGCAGCTCCCACCACCGCTGCCTTGTAGGCGGAGTAAAGTAGAATGAACTCGTGAGTAACAGTACATAATACTGATGTTATTAACTATTCATTTTATTAATGAAATCCTATTTTGCCGTCTGTATTATTATTATTATTGCTGTTGCTCACATTTAAGAAATAAAGGGCTCGGCAACGCATGTACAATGGTATAAAGACGCCCTTCTTAGCGCCGATTTGATAAGCGCTCATTTCTCCAGGAATGCATCTTGAATGCTCAGCGAGGTCTGCCTGTATATTATTTCCATTAAGACTTGCAGTAGACATCCTTTGATGTGCCCTACTGTGTATATTTCATGTGTTATGTACAAAATGATTGTAACCTAACACGATTCTAAACGTTTACACATTGAAAATAATATTGCGTTGAATAAATCAAATACTGACATGTAAAGTGCGATTCGACAAAGCGACTGTTTCATTTGCTGTGATGTACTTTTAAATACATTATTAAGTAACTTTTACGTGCGTCCGTATTCAGTCTTTGTTTGAATTTTTTTAACCGTCCACCATTTGTCCGTTGCCGGATGGAAGAATGCTCATGTCGGTGCCATTCGGCGTCATCCATAGTCAAATCCCCTGCTGGATGGAAGCCCTTGCCAAGCCCCCCACCTCCCACAGTTCCCCTAGTAGACCTCGAATGTTAATCTCTCGACACGTTTTGCTTCACCTGGCCATAACATGCAACGTTAGAGGGTGTTAGCATGCACACTGCATCACTCACGTTGTGGATAAATACATTGCATTCCACTTAGAGTCCAGGCGGCCAGAGTAGAATTGGGTACCACGGGCGGTGGCAAATATTTGGTGACACAAGTTGGTGTATTTAAAGATATTGGCAGCAACAAAAAACATTTGATCTGGGATCATGGCCTTAGCATCGTTCAGCGAATCGTGGTTACAAAAAAATTAGTTGGTCACTAAAATTAAAACTGTAGATTGGGTTGCCATTGCGTGAACACACATCTCGATTTTTCAAACAGATTTTTGGAACCAGATTTACATCTAAAACTAAACAAGTCAAGCAAATGTAAGTTTTTGGTGATTTGCCCGTGTGTTGGGGTTGGAGGCATTGCAACAAATCTGGCCCAAAATTAGATGAGGGCCATTGCCACCACATCCACGTGAATCATACCCTTGAAAGAGTGAAGCTTTTAACGAACTGCGCTCAGATTAAAACCAGCCCAGCTTTTGCGATGAACAAAATAACTCTACAGTCTGCTACCATGATGTAATGGTTGGCATACCAGACTTGCAATCCAGGTCTCTCCCGGAATAGCAGTTGAAACAATGCACAAATGTATTAAATCCCTCTGCCTCTTGTCGACCCAGCGGTATAAATGGGCACGCCACAGTGGGGAGGTCGCGTGTGGTGGTTCGAAGCTGGAAAGTGCTGTGCCTCCATCTTTGGCCCGTGTGGAGAAGGAGGCCAAAAATACCCTCTCAGAGCTCCCTCGAGTGGAGGCTCTTTCCGCCAGCATTGGTGTTAGAAAAAAAAGCAACAATCTCGTGGCCTGCACCTTTTCCCGTCACCTTCAGCAGTACGCTTCACTCCGTGCACACGACATCGCGCAGCTCCGCCGAGCGCAAGCGAGCCAAAGCCCGGCTCCCGGCGGCTCCGCTCCCAAATAACGCTCGGCATCTCCGGCCGTGCCACCTCGTCGAGTAACTGCAGGCCAACGAAGGCCAACGCCGGCTACAGTCACGGCGGACACACCGCGGCGGCGGCGGCGACGACGACCACCGCCAACGCCAGCAGACTCGCGCTGGAGGAGACGGAGGAGGCGGAGGTGGCGCCGTCGGTCCAGTTTCCCCAAACTCCGCCGCCGTTGGTCCCGTCAGAGGCGTTGGCCGCGCCGCTCGCGTTCTTGAACGTCTCGAGCAGCATGCGCGACAGCATCGCGCTCAGCCGCCCCTCGCTCGGCCGCGCCGGCACCGCCGCCGCCGCCCGCTGGAACCCGGGGCGGCACTCGCGGGCGTCCGTGTAGCGGAACGGCACCGCGCTCAGCTCCAGGCCGGCGGCCGACTCGGGGGAGGCGCAGGTGACGTCGCGGACCCTGACGCCGAGCGCCGGCGCCCAGCCGCGCAACCAGCGCAGCGCGCACGTGCAGTGCCACGGGTTGCGGAAGAGGTAGATGCGCTGCAGCGACGTCAGGCCTGCAACGTACGGGGGGGGGGGGGGGTCCTACTCGTCACTCGCGAGGAAATGCGATTTCGAGTAACTCGTAGCATATGCGTACTTCTTTCGCGCCGTACATAGCCACAGCCGTGCTCGTTACAGGCGCGGCGATTGGTGCGGTCGTGGTAGCCCGAGAAATGTTTGGAGGTTGAAAAGGGGTCGGCACGCTCCAAAAGGTTGGGAACCGCTATCATAGGCGATATGGGTGATATCTTAGAGGTGTATTGAGCATATTGGCACAAGACAGAGGAAAGTGGAAACAAATGACGTGCTGTGGAAGCCTACAGGATATCTGCGCATGGATCGTGATGATGATAACAGGCGACATTCTGGGCAATGACCCTCCATCATTACATGTTTTTCCCTTTAACCTCCCCCCCCCCTGCCCTCCCCACGCAAAGCAGCGCTCTTTGACGAACGCCGTTGTTGGAGCGTCCTCGCGCGCGAACGCTTCGAGCCACCTGCGAGGGCCTCCTGGGACAGCCACGTGAGGTTGTTGTGGTTGAGGTGCAGCGAGTTCAGCACTCCCAGCTGGCGGAAGGCGCCGGCGTCCAGCGTGGACAGCTCGTTGCGGTCCAGGTAGAGCTCGCGCAGCGCAGACAGCGACCAGAACCAGCTGCCGGTCACGGCGCGCAGGCGGTTCCCGCCGAGGTTGAGCAGGCGCAGGCGGAGCAGGCCGATGAAGGCGAGGGGAGGCAGCGAGGAGATCTCGTTGTCGTTGAGGTACAGGTCCTCCAGGTGCGAGCAGTCGTGGAACGAGCTGTTGTGCACCACCGAGATGTGGTTGCCCTGCGCGTGGTTGGAGGTGGTGGGGAGGAGAGCGGTGGCGCAGGGGTTAACGCGGCACGCTAAGGAACCCGGTGACCCGAGTTCGATTCCCGCTCACGGCCAACACCGCTGGCGATTATCTGAACCGGTTCTGGGCCTCCGCTAGGTGGACTCCGCCTAAAATTCGCACCTCCGATTAGCACGGGTTGGCTACGTACGGTGTGAAAAAGTTCAACAAACATAAGTACAAATGAGTACCTGGTGCGGTGTGTAAATATCGCCACTTGCGAAACAAAGGAGGCCGGGCGTGGTGCTGGCCACCCACCCCCAACGTATGCCGTGCCGGCCTTCCTAGGTGCTACTCGCTACCAGCACTTACCCCAACAGTCTGTTGAAGGCTATACGGGGGGACTTTGTCTTTGGGGAGGTGGGGGGGGGGGCAAGGGGGTGTCAGTGATGACGCTGGGGTTTATATTTGAATCGTAGTTACTGAACGCAGTTTCCAGGAGCCAATATCCGCAAATCGTCCAGCGACCCGCAGCACTGATGACGATATGGAGAGCGAGCGAGACCGGCGCGAGATGGAGTGATGGCCTGGGACCTGCACCACCAAATGCATAGCGGTCAACCCAGACGGTTTACCCCGTGTTCTTGTACAGGGAAATTGAGATATCAGGTCCATACGGCGTACACCCGTTTCAATACGGATACAAAATAATTGTCTGTTGTAGGATGAATGTTGCAATTGATAAGGGCACGTGGTGACCAATAAGGTGTAAATTGGTCTGTAATAAGGTGGGGCACTGACAAGGGGTTGACAGGTATCTAGTAGTGTAGTGTATAGTGTAGTGTATAGTGTAGTGTAGAGTGTAGTGTATAGGATAAACATTGAGATGTACAAGGGCACGTGGTGACCAATAAGGTGTGAATTGGTCTGTAATAAGGTGGGGCACTGACAAGGGGTTGACAGGTGTGCAAATGTCCCTCTGGCCTGCCCAAGTTCACTCTCTTCCTGAGCGGGGAATCTCCGGCATGGACCCCCCCCCCCTCCCAAACACAACCCGAGAGGAGCTCGAGCCAGGACTCTGAGCTACGTACGGTGCGAAAGAAGTTCCAACATACTGAACACGCAAAGGGAAAGGTGCCGCCCTGCATGCACGAATGTTTTTGTTTTGTTTGGCATTGTAACGTTATTACCCCGTGCCCCGACTGGACATCTGTGAAAAGAGCTTTATAGTTCATCGGATTCCTCCAGGAGAATTAAATATTGTGATTCTGTATGTTGTTGTTATGCTTGATTGAGCTGCCAGATATGCCAAGTTCAGGTTTCAAGTGTATTTGGTTGAACCTTGTGGGAACTCAAGAGACAAGGGTAGTCTCATTTTCCAGAGTGACCTGGTGGTGTCCTCGTCACGGTATGGGCCATGTATATTTGTATTATGTAGAACTTATTCCGCACCGTAGATAGCCAACCGCGCTAATCGGATGTGCGCGGGGTAAGGACAACAAACTGACAAGCAAAAAGCAGATTTAAAGAAATGGGTTTTCAATCTAGATCAGTGGTTCTTCACCTTCACCGCGGTCTTGCAGTGAAAGCTAATAAATACGGAAGGTTTGATGAAACAAAGTAGTTGTACTTGCGTGTCCGTGCTTAATTTGTTTTTCGATGATTTGCCTTCTAAAAAAATCTGCCCATGCCTCGCACTCCCAGAAAGGGCATCTCGCACTCCTAGGGGGGGCCTGCACCCAAGGCCGTAATTATAATATAGATATGGGGGGGGGGGACGCATCCCCCCCCCCCCATTATTCAAATATGCTCAAAATGTTCCCCCCAATATATAGCTATAAAATAGAATTCTGTTTATATGATTGTGGTTGTGGTTGTACTTTATTAATTCCTAATCTCTGCCATTACATACAATGAAACAAGAAAAGGTAAAAAAACAGTAATGTAATATAACACACTATTAGACATTGTTAGTAAAAAAAAGTCCATCCCATGTGTTAGTGAATTTTATTTTAAGCAGGAAATTCGTTTTCAAATTTAGATTTTTATTTTCTGGGGGGGGGGGGGGGGGGGGGGACGGACCCCAGATCCCCTGGAAGATTTGGTCCCCCCAATGTTGACTCCATGGCTACGGCCTTGCCTGCACCCCAGGTTAAGAACCACTGGTACACGTGGTTTACAAGTGCATCGCTCCGGTGGCTTCCCAATATTAACCTGCAGGTGCAACTGCCTGCACGCTCACTCTTGCAGACGGTACGGCTTCCCCCATCTCGAGCGGGCGATGGGTGGACGCGGTGCCTTGCCCCCCCCCCCCCTTCCACGGTGGGTAAAGCCACGAGGTTGGGACCCCCGTTGACAACCACCGTGAGAGACAAATCAAATACTGGGGCTCCCACCTGACCGTTTGCCGCACCCCCACTGAGCTGATAAAGTCGTCACTACGCCAGGGGACGGTAACCAAAATAACAAGAAAAGCGAATTGTTTTTTCGAATTGGTTAAAACAAAAAATCCAACTCAATATTTCAAGAGCCGCAATGCCCACCGTGGTGAACACACGAGACGTGGCCACCCGGAGCCGCAGGTTTGCCGACCCCCCTGGGTGTGACCCGTTGGTGTTCGAGAGGCGCCGCACCTGCAGGTCGAGCAGCACGAGGCCCACGAGGCCGTGCAGCGAGTTGTAGGCCACGGCCTCGATGTTGTTCTGCCCCAGGTAGAGGTGCGAGAGGCGCGAGAGGCCCTGCACCGCGCCCGGCACGCGGCGCATGTGGTTGCCCCAGGCGCGCAGCTCCCGCAGCGCGTGCAGCTCCAGGAGGATGCGGTCGGGCAGCGAGAAGAGGTTGCAGGCCGACAGGTCGAGCAGGCGAAGGGACGGCAGGCCCTCGAAGCTGCGCGTGTGCAGCGCCGTGAAGTGCCGGTTGTGTGCCAGGCTCAGCATGCTCACGCTCGGCAGGCCTGCGCTCTCGCGCCCACCACGACCACCACGACAGTGAACGCGCAACGACGGGGCGACGTTGGCTGACGTTGGCTGACATTGCCGGTCACGTTAGTTGACGTTGAGCCAACGTTGGTTGACATTGGGTCAACGTTGACTCAACGTTGACCCAACGTTGGTTCAGGTTGGGGCAACATTAGTTGACGTTGAACCAACGTTGGCCCAACGTCGGGCCAACGTTGGTCCAACTTCGGGCCAACGTTGGTTAACGTCAGGGCGACGTTAGTTGAAGTTGGCTGACGTTGCCGGTAACGTTAGTTGACATCGGGGCAACGTTGGCCCATCGTTGCATGTCTACTGGGGAGGGCCTCATATCGCATGCATCTCATCTGGTCTCGAGCGGACCAGTGCCCTCTGGGGCTGTAGAACAGTCCGGCCAATAATAATTTCCACAATAACATTAATAACCCTATTGAGTGTTCACATAGCAGCGTCGTTGATGCAACTGGATCTCACAATGCCGCACAATCTGCAAATACGCAAAGATGAATATGTTCAGCCAATTAACGAGCGGGAGGAGTCAAGAGCACCTGGGGAAAAAAATGTCCACGCCTGCAAGGGGGCAACACTCCACACCTGTCAACCCCTTATCAGCGTCCTACCTTATTTCAGACCAATTCAGACCGTATTGGTCACCCTGTGCCCCTTTGGATCGCAACGTTCATCCTACAGAGTCCCATCGCAAGGGAGAAACGCAAACAAATAGGCAAATGTGTTTGCCCGTATTGAAACGGCTATACGCTGTATGGACCCGAAAACTATTTTTTCTGTACAAGAATTCGGGTAAACCGTATGGGTTGGCAACTATGACACTTTATCCCGCGCAAATGGAATAGATGGAGATTAGTCACATTTTGCTGTTGACCCCTGCTGGCGAGCCAAGGTAGTTTCACAAAATGTGGTGTGCGACGCACACGTTGAGATTTACAAGGGCACAGGGTGACCAATAAGGTCTGAATTGGTCTGTGATGAGGTGGGCCCTGATAAGGAGTTGACAGGTGTGGTGATGCGTCACTCGCTGCCTCCACAGTGCTGGATTACAGGCGTGCATCGGCACCACTCCGATGGGAGCTGTCCCTTCGCGGTGTGTAAAGAGCACCGGCCTGCAAATGGGCAAAAGTCTGCCAGTAGGGGGACCACGTTGCCAGGAGTTGACAGCATGGATGGCTTGGGGGGGGGGGGGTAAGAACAAAACATTCGAGACAGTTTGGGCAGCAGAGGAGAATGAGCGATCTTCGACGAAGCGACGATTGACTGGGGACTTCCACAGAAGGGATTGGTAGCTGGAGCAGGCGGCGTGTGGAGGGGAGTAGAGTGAGATGAGCGGGGAGAGGCAGGAGATAGCGTGGAGGGGAGTAGAGTGAGATGAGAGGGGAGAGGCAGGAGAGTGCGTGGAGGGGAGTAGAGTGAGATGAGTGGGGAGAGGCAGGAGAGTGCGTGGAGGGGAGTAGAGTGAGATGAGAGGGGAGAGGCAGGAGAGTGCGTGGAGGGGAGTGGAGTGAGATGAGAGGGGAGAGGCAGGAGAGTGCGTGGAGGGGAGTGGAGTGAGATGAGAGGGGAGAGGCAGGAGAGTGCGTAGAGGGGAGTGGAGTGAGATGAGAGGGGAGAGGCAGGAGAGTGCGTGGAGGGGAGTAGAGTGAGATGAGTGGGGAGAGGCAGGAGAGTGCGTGGAGGGGAGTGGAGTGAGATGAGAGGGGAGAGGTAGGAGAGTGTGTGGAGGAGAGTGAGATGAGAGGGGAGATGGCAGTGAGAGTGAGATGTGGAGATGCAGGATAGTGGGTGAGAGGGGAAGTAGGGAGATGACCGAGGGGAGAGGCAGGAGAGTGCTTGGAGGGGAGTAGAGTGAGAATGAGAGGGGAGAGGTAGGAGAATGTTGTTGGAGGGGAGGAGAGTGAGATGAGAGGGAGAGGTAGGAGAGTGTGTGGAGGGGAGAGAGTGGAGATGAGATGGGACGATGTAAGGAGAGTGCGTCGGAGGAGAGTAGAGTGAGCTGAGAGGGGAGAGCAGGAGAGTGCGTGGAGGTGCGTAGAGTGAGATGAGAGG